GGGCGACGTGGGAACGTAGCCGGTAGGGAGACAAAGGCGGCCGGGCGTGGTTTTGCCCACACATCACCCCCCCTCGTGTGCCGTACCGGCCTTCATAGGCGCTGCTCGCTAACAGCACTTGCCCCAACAGTCTGTTAAGGCTATACGGGTTGGGGGGTGTCTTTGTATTTGTCTTTGTGTGTGTGTGTGTGTACACGTGTCCATATATAACAAGAGACATATATATGTTCTTAAAAAAAACATTTTCCTAAACATAAAAGCGACGACATTTAATTGGGAGAGATATAATAATCGGCACGCGTCGTATATATAAAAAAACGAACGGAGTTTTTTGTTTAAAAATTCACAGTTATCACCGCGATTTGTAGTAAAAAAAAAGATACCCCCCCCCCCCCCGCAAATCCCTCGTTAGACAAAGACGCGTGCGTGATGGTAAAAGAAGAGACGACCCCCCACAACACCCACCCCCCCCCCCAGTGTGTCTATTAACAAGCCCCTCCCCCTTCGACCCCCCCCTTCGACCCCCCTTCGACCCCCCCTTCGACCCCCCCCTTCGACCCCCCCCTTCGACCCCCCTCGACCCCCCCCGTTCCCCCGCTATGTTATCACGGGCTGCTGCTACACGAACCGACGAACCCCCCCCTCCCCCCACATCGACAGAAACACCCCCTCCCCACCAGCCCCCCGCCAGAAGAGTTGGGTTGGGGCTGGAGGGGGGGGGGGTGTGTTGGGGCAGTGTGTTGGGGGGTGGGTGTGTGTTGGGGTTGGGTGGGTGTTGGGGCTGGGTGGGTGTTGGGCTGGGCAGTGTGTTGGGGGGGTGGGTGTGTTGGGGGGGTGGGTGTGTTGGGGGGGCAGTGTGTTGGGGGGGTGGGTGTGTTGGGGGGGTGGGTGTGTTGGGGGGGCAGTGTGTTGGGGGGGTGGGTGTGTTGGGGGGGTGGGTGTGTGTTGGGGTTGGGTGGGTGTTGGGGCTGGGGCAGTGTGTTGGGGGGGTGGGTGTGTTGGGGGGGTGGGTGTGTTGGGGGGGTGGGTGTGTGTTGGGGTTGGGTGGGTGTTGGGGCAGGGGCAGTGTGTTGGGGGGGTGGGTGTGTTGGGGAGGTGGGTGTGTGTTGGGGTTGGGTGGGTGTTGGGGCTGGGGCAGTGTGTTGGGGGGGGGGGGTGTCAGTGTGCGCGTGTCTGCCTGGTGTGGGGAGCGGTGGTGTAGTGGTTAGCGCTATGCTGCACTACGAACCCGGCGAACCGGGTTTGATCCCCGGCCAACACCGGTGACAATTATCTGAACCGGTCCTGGGCCTCCCCTAGGTCTACTCAGGCTCAAATGAGTATCTGGTGCGGTGTGTAGTAAACATCGCCGCTGGGGAGACAAAGGCGGTCGGGCGTGGTGCTGGCCACCCACCCGCTCGTGTGCCGTGCCGGCCTTCACATGTGCTCGCTAACAGCAGTTGCCCCTACAGTCTGTTAAGGCTATATGGGCGATCTTTGTCTTTGATGTTTGTCTTTGTGTGTGTGTCTGTGTGAGCGCGTGTGTCTGTGTATTCGCGCGCCGTGTCTGTGTGCATGTATGAGCGCAACAACAAAAAGATGTGACGGTCAAAACAAATGATTGCCCCTCTGCAAGAGGTCGCCCATTCTCTACTGCTGGATGACCCCCCCCCCCTCCCCTGCTGCCCCACCTGCCCACCCCCAGTCACCCGTGCTATCGACTTCCTGACCCACGTCATGGCGCTCAAAACTGTTCCGTGATTTACCCTCTGCCTGGCTCTGTCTCTCTCTCGCTTCGTTCGACACCACAAAAACAACAACAACAACTGACAGACGCCATTCGCCACGAAGTGACGGTGACGTCAGCACGGCGCTTGTACCAGGCCACGTGCACTTCCGAGGCTATCACGTGAAATGTCGAAGGCTCGCTTGCAATCGGTCACGTGACAGACCCTGCAGGTGGGTTCACTGACTGAGATGACTGGCAGATTGCACCACCTGTACCCCCCCCCCCCCCTCCCCGTATTTTATCTGCCCGGCGCTCCGCTCGTTGTTGTGAGTGTCGCTCCTCTGCCCTCCGTTGTTGCTGGAGGGCGAATGCCTCCAACTGCCCAGTAGCAGCAGCAGCGTCCTTCACGAGCCTCCTCCATACAGGCCGTTCTTGACACCGCTGGTACCAGTCTTTGGCAAGTCCACTCAGCTCCACATCCTCTTGAACTGCATGAGTCCATCTCTTTTCCAGCCTGTGTCGCGCGCCCGTTTAGCCCCCTTTATCCAACCAATCATAACCTGCTTCGGCATGAGGTGGCTGACTATGCGGGCTACACAACCCAGCCAATGCAGCATTGCCTGCCAAAAGAGCTCACCGATGGGAATGTTCCAGATCTTTCAAGGATTTGTGCACTCCTCACGCTGTAATCCAACCTGGTTAAAGCCAGGATGAATCGTAGGCAGGCCTGCCTGTATGTTTCTAAACGGCGCAGATGTTCCATTACAGGGCCCCACGTTTCATAAGCATAGAGGGAAGGCATAACTGTGGCCGAGAAGACCCGAAGCTTCGTGTGGAGCAACAGACTAGGTAGCTTCCACACAGCATTACTCCGCTGGTGACAATCTCATGCCGTCCGACTGATTCGGAGTGAGACCTCTGCTGTCAAACCGGAGCTGGTTATGTGCCAGGAGCTTAGTGATACACGGACCCATCGAGTCAAACAGAGACCCATAGACTGACATAGAGACCCATAGGTGGTCACATAAGACAGTCACACACACTCGCCTCGAGATCGAGTATCAGTCTCACGTATAGATACATGACTGCATCTATGTATAGTAGAATGCCCACTGTTCATATTGTATTCTATAGACCCAGATATATATATATTGACACTCACGTGCAGACGTGTAGACTCAGATACAGATCGATACTCACACAGCCAGTCTCGTACAGAGACCCATAGACTCACAAAGAGACCCATAGAGTTCCCACAAAGCCCCAAATGGCTCACTCAGCCATAGACTCCCATAGATACCCAGAGTTCACATAGAGACCCATAGACTCCGATGGAGACCCATAGAGTTCCCACAGAGACCCACTGACTCACTCAGCCGTAGACTCCCATAGATACCCAGAGTTCACATAGAGACCCATAGACTCCGATAGAGACCCATAGAGTTCCCACAGAGACCCACTGACTCACTCAGCCGAAGACTCCCATAGATACCAAGAGTTCACATAGAGACCCATAGACTCCGATAGAGACCCATAGAGTTCCCACAGAGACCCACTGACTCACTCAGCCATAGACTCTCACAGAGACCCAAAGAGTTCCCACAGAGACCCACTGACTCACTCAGCCATAGACTCTCACAGACACCCATAGAGTTCCCACAGAGACCCACTGACTCACTCAGCCATAGACTCTCACAGACACCCATAGAGTTCCCACAGAGACCCACTGACTCACTCAGCCATAGACTCTCACAGACACCCATAGAGTTCCCACAGAGACCCACTGACTCACTCAGTCGTAGACTCTCACAGAGACCCATAGAGTTCCCACAGAGACCCACTGACTCACTCAGCCATAGACTCTCACAAAGACCCATAGAGTTCCCACAGAGACCCACTGACTCACTCAGCCATAGACTCTCACAGAGACCCATAGAGTTCACACAGAGACCCACTGACTCACTCAGCCATAGACTCTCACAGAGACCCATAGAGTTCACACAGAAACCCGTAGACGGACACGGAGGCTCATGACTGGTCACGTGAGAGACGCCATGTATCGAGAGGGACCCACAATGCAACGTGCCAGCAACGTGTCATCATCTTAGCATTCACACAAAGCGAATTGCTTCGTAGCAAAATGTTTCTGATGAATGAATGGGTCAGTCTGGTAGCCCGCACCTCCAATTAGCACGGTTGGCTGTTCACGATGCGAAAGAATTTCAACTTACACGCGATAGCTACTCATAGTGTAACTAATTCATGAGTCCAATTGATCATCAGAATGCATCTTTGAATAGAATTCTCATCATCCGATCGCTCAGTGTGAGCCCTACCATCCACCGTGTCTCCCTACTGGCCTCTCTGTTCGTGTGCCATGAATAAGGGTTGTTGCCCGAAACGTTGCCGATAATATATGTTTGCCTTCAAAGGTCACATACACGCAGAGTGTATTGTTGTTGCCGAGTGTGTTGAGTTGGTTTTGTATTGAATAACACAGATGTGTGCACACAAATAAACACAGACTCGCAGTGACCAATGGACACACACGGAGACCCAGAGACTCACGCAACCATTTTACAGACTCTGATCAACCGATAGACTTACATAGAGGCACATAATCGTAGAGGACGCAGCTTCACAGAGACCCATTGACTCTCACAGCCATAGACTTCCATCGAAACCCATAGACAAGCATGGGATCGCCATAGCTTCACACGGATACCCATAGACTCCCACTGAGACCCACAAACTCCCACTGAGACCCACATATTCCCACAGAGACCCACAGACTCCCACTGAGACCCACAGACTCCCACTGATACCCACAGACTCCCACTGAGATCCACAGACTCGCACAGAGACCCACAGACTCGCACAGAGACCCACAGACTCCCACTGAGACCCACAGACTCGCACAGAGACCCACAGACTCCCACTGAGACCCACAGACTCCCACTGAGACCCACAGACTCGCACAGAGACCCACAGACTCGCACAGAGACCCACAGACTCCCACTGAGACCCACAGACTCCCACTGAGACCCACAGACTCCCACTGGGACCCACAGACTCACACAGAGACGCGCCACACCACACACGCTGTAGGATCACCATCAGTCGAGTGGCTGCGGTGGCCACGGTGGATATCGAGAGACACGAGTGGCGTCATCCCCTTGGGGTCGTCCCTTCTTCTTCGTCCCGAGCGCCGCACGTCAACCCCCGATCACCCACGACCCTTAGCACCTCTCCCTCCCCCCACCCCCCTCCCCCCACCCCCCCCACCCGCTCCTCACACGTACCACTCGCTGTAGTTGGCGGGCAGCGGTGGAATGAGCGACGCGCCAATCATCTCAGCGTGGACGCGTCGCGCCGGCTCGCTCAGCTCCATGAGCGAGTGGGCGAGCGATACGGAGGGGCTTGCCATGCCACCACCTCCTCCTCCTCCTAACACTCCTCCACCTAACACTCCTCCACCACCTAACACTCCTCCACCTAACACTCCTCCTAATCCACCACCACCACCACCTCCTCCTCCCAATCCACCACCAAGGCCGTTGCCGTGCATCTTGCCCAGCGCGAGGTTGGTCGCGTGCGTCGTGACGGACGCGCCCGACGATGCGGAGGACGACGACGACGATGTCGAGGACGACGACGAGTGGGACGAGGAGGAGGAGGAGGTGGTGGTGGTGGGGGCTGCGGGTGTAGCGGAAGTTTCCCCCGTAGCGGAGGGGGGTTGCTGAGCCCCCATTGCGGGGGGAGTCGCTGATTCGTAGCCGGAGCTGGCGGCGGGCGACGGCTGCGAGCCCTGGGCGCTCGACTCGTGCACCTAGACGGGCACCGTCAGCATCATCAGCATTATTAAAACATCATCATCATAAGCAGCAGCATCATCGTAAGCAGCAGCATCATCAACAGCAGCATCATCATCATCAGCAGCAGCATCATAATCATCAGCATCATCATCATAAGCAGCAGCATCATCGTAAGCAGCAGCATCATCATCAGCAGCAGCATCATAATCATCAGCATCATCATCATCATAAGCAGCAGCATCATCGTAAGCAGCAGCATCATCAGCATCATTAAAAACATCATCATCATGAGCAGCAGCATCATCGTAAGCAGCATCATCATCATCAGCACAAGCAGAAGAAGATTCAACATCATCATCATCAGAGGAAGAATCAGCAGATGATGAATTAGCAGCAGCAGTAGTAGATTCGTCATCAGAAGCAGAATAATAATCATAATCACCATCAGCAACATCATCATCATAAGCAGCAGCATCATCATAAGCAGCAGCATCATCATTATAATTATCAGCATCATCATCAGCAGCAGAAGAATAATAATAATCATAATCACCATCAGCAGCAACATCATCAGCGGCGGCTGAAGAATCAGCAGTGAAAGCAACACACATTATGTATCCACTGCTAGTCGTCTCCTCTCCATCATCATCATCAGCAGTGGTTTTGACATGGTCATCATCGTCATCATCAGCAGCCTCAGCTAAAGAGCGACTCCTCCCCACGTGGTCGCCAGCTCTGCCGGTCTCGCAAGCGACGCGCGCTGATCACGACCACTGATAGGAGGGTCTCATTGATCAACCATCGATCAATGATCGATCAATGATCGATCAATGATCGATCAATGAGATCACCAATAACTATTGCGCCGCTGATGCTGCTGTGTACAGCCTGTGTGTGTGTGCATTGTGTGCGTGCGTTGTGTTTGAGTGTTCGTTGTGTTTGTGTGTGTGCGTTTTGTTTGTGTGTGTGCGTTGTGTGCGTGCGTTGTGTTTGTGTGTGTTCGTTGTGTGTGTTCGTTGTGTTTGTGTGTGTGCGTTATGTTTGTGTGTGTGTGCATTGTGTGTGCATTGTGTGTGTGCTTTGTGTGTGTTCGTTGTGTGTGCGTTTTGTTTGTGTGTGTGTGCGTTGTGTGCGTGCGTTGTGTTTGTGTGTGTTCGTTGTGTTTGTGTGTGTGCGTTGTGTTTGTGTGTGTGCGTTGTGTGCGTGCGTTGTGATTGTGTGTGCGTTATGTTTGTGTGTGTGTGTGCATTGTGTGTGTGCTTTGTGTGCGTGCGTTGTGTTTGAGTGTGTTCGTTGTGTTTGTGTGTGTGCGTTGTGTGTGTGTGTGTGTGCATTGTGTGTGTGCTTTGTGTGCGTGCGTTGTGTTTGAGTGTGTTCGTTGTGTTTGAGTGTGTTCGTTATGTTTGTGTGTGTGTGCATTGTGTGCTCGTGTGCATTGTGTGTGTGTGTGCGCGTTGTGTACGTGGGGAGTGGTAGTGGTAGCGGTTAGCGCGCACTGCTATGAAACTGGCGACCCGGATTCGATTTCGGCTCATGGCCAACACCAGTGACAGAGATTATCTGAACCGGTCCTGGGCCTCCCCTAGGTTGACTCAGCCTCAAATTGCGCAGTGTGTAAAAAAGCATCGCCACTAGGGAGACAAAGGCGGTCGGGTGTGATGCTGGCCACCCACTCCCTCGTGTGTCGTGCCGGCCTTCATAGGGGTTCGCTAACAGCACTTGCCCTAACAGTCTGTTACAGGCTATACGGGGGAGCTTTGTCCTTGTCTTTTGTGTGTATGTGTACGTTGTGTGCGTGTGGTTATAGTGTCCTAGTCCCGCCAAGCACATTCACTCGTTTACTCACCCACTCACTCACCTACCCACTCACCTATTCAACCACCCACCCACCTACTTAGTCACTCATTCAGTCGCCCCCAAACTCACCCACTCACTCGTCCACCCACCCAGAATGCCTGCTATGGATTGGGATTTGGCATAGGAGCTCGCGAGGGAGGGTAGTTCCCACCCTGGATGTTAGCGACTTCTAGGAACCATCAACTCGTTAAGTCAGCATGCACAATTCCCCGTCAACGTATGCAATGCACTTGTAATTCACAACAACCCATTAACACACAGCTACCCGTTCACCCACTCACGCGCACATCCACTCACCTACAAACCCACTCACCCCCACACACAGACGACCACTCCCCTACCCACTCACTCACACGAACACATCCACTCACCTACTAACCCACTCACCCCACACACACACAGACGCTCACTCCCCTACCCACTCACTCACACACACAGCCACTCACCTACTAACCCATTCACCCCACACACAGACGATCACTCACCTACCCACTCACTCACACACACAGCCACTCACCTACGAACCCACTCACACCCCACACACAGATGCTCACTCACCTACCCACTCCCTCACACACATCCACTCACCTACGAACCCACTCACACCCCACACACAGATGCTCACTCACCTACCCACTCACTCACACACACAGCCACTCACCTACGAACCCACTCACACCCAACACACAGATGCTCACTCACCTACCCACTCACACACACATCCACTCACCTACTAACCCACTCACCCACACCAACAGAGACGCTCACTCCCCTACCCACTCACGCACACATCCACTCACCTACGAACCAACTCACCTACACACCCCACACACACAGACGCTCACTCCCCTACCCACTCACTCAAGCACACATCCACACACCTACAAACCCACACACCCCACACACAAACGCTCACTCACCTACCCACCCACTCACGCACACATCCACTCACCTACTAACCCACTCACCCCACACACACAGACGCTCACTCACCTACCCACTCACTCACGCACACATCCACTCACCTACGAACCCACACACCCACACACGCTCACTCACCTACCCACTCACTCACGAACACACATCCACTCACCTACTAACCCACTCACCCCACACACAGACTCTCACTCGCCTACCCACTCACTCACACATCCACTCACCTACGAACCAACTCACCCACACACACACAGACGATCACTCACCTACCCACTCACTCACGCACACATCCACTCACCTACTAACCCACACACCCCACACACAGAGACACTGACTCGCCTACCCACTCACTCACGCACACATCCACTCACCTACGAACCCACACAAACGCTCACTCACCTACCCACTCACTCACGCACACATCCACTCACCTACTAACCCACTCACCCACACACACATACACTCACTCACCTCCCACTCACTCACGCACACATCCACTCACCTACGAACCCACACACCCACACACGCTCACTCACCTACCCACTCACTCACGAACACACATCCACTCACCTACTAACCCACTCACCCCACACACAGACTCTCACTCGCCTACCCACTCACTCACACATCCACTCACCTACGAACCAACTCACACACACACACACAGACGATCACTCACCTACCCACTCACTCACGTACACATCCACTCACCTACTAACCCACTCACCCACACACACAGACACTCACTCACCTACCCACTCACTCACGCACACATCCACTCACCTACGAACCCACTCACCCACACACACAGACACTCACTCACCTACCCACTCACACACAACCACATCCACTCACCTACCCACTCACACACAACCACATCCACTCACCTACGAACCCACACAGACACGCTCACTCACCTACCCACTCACTCACGCACACATCCACTCACCTACTAACCCACTCACCCACACACACAGACACTCACTCACCTCCCACTCACTCACGCACACATCCACTCACCTACGAACCCACACACCCACACACGCTCACTCACCTACCCACTCACTCACGAACACACATCCACTCACCTACTAACCCACTCACCCCACACACAGACTCTCACTCGCCTACCCACTCACTCACACATCCACTCACCTACGAACCAACTCACACACACACACACAGACGATCACTCACCTACCCACTCACTCACGCACACATCCACTCACCTACTAACCCACTCACCCACACACACAGACACTCACTCACCTACCCACTCACTCACGCACACATCCACTCACCTACGAACCCACTCACCCACACACACAGACACTCACTCACCTACCCACTCACACACAACCACATCCACTCACCTACCCACTCACACACAACCACTTCCACTCACCTACGAACCCACACAGACACGCTCACTCACCTACCCACTCACTCACGCACACATCCACTCACCTACAAACCCACTCACCCACACACACAGACACTCACTCACCTCCCACTCACTCACGAACACACCCACACAGACGCTCACCCACCCTCTATTAGATGTACTCAGCCTTGAATAAACTCGCATACCTGATGAGCGGTGTGCATTCAACCCAGGTACTGTTGGTCGTTGCCACACAAATCCCACTCCCTCGTGGTGCCGAACCAGCCTTCGTAGGCGCTCGCTAAACGCACTTGCCCCAGCGGTCTATGAAAGGCTACACGGGGGATCTTTGTCTTTGTGTTGTACTCAGTGAGAATGGGCAACTGCGGAACGAGTCATACTGACAATTCCACATTTCGACCAATGTTTATAGTATCTATACTATTATATATACTATTATATATACTATTATATATACACACACACGTATATTGTTAAGTCAGTATATATATTTCGATTTTAAGCTTTCGTGACTGCATGGATTCATATTCTTGGTTCTTTCGGTAAAGTCACGTAGAAGGGAAATAATAGAATAATAAAACATAAAACATAATAAGATAACATTTTCACGACGTTTCGGCCACAACGCAAGCAGCCGTCCTCAGGTGAAGAACAGGGCTGTCGGAAAGACAGCGTCCTAATTAACCCTGTGGCCGAAACGTCGTGAGAATTTAATCTTATTATATTTGATTTTTATTATTTTATTTTTTCCCTTCTATGTGACTTTACCGAAAGAACCAAGAATATCAGTATATATAACATTAACAGTATACGTGTAGACTGCTAAGACATTACATAGACACAAAACATAACGTTACATATATAAATAATATTTTACATAAACGCGTGTGTATATACTGTTAAAAAGAGTAAATATAGAGACAGCGTATAGCCATAACAATCTCTGTGTTGTTATAGATATGTGGAAACCCTAAAACAGTGTGCATATGTAAACAGTGCATGTGGTGATATCCATGTTTGCAGATTTATAAATATATAAGCATGTATTTAAAGACTATTTTGGCAGTCTAGTTATACAACGATATACCGTTAAATATAAACACGTGTACACAGTACTTTTAAAGGCAGTCTATAAACAGTATATGTCGTTATAACAATGTATACTGTTTCATATACTGTATACAAATGTGCATGATGTAAACACAGCATAAATAGGTGTTAGAGGGTTTATATATATAAAATCATAACACTATATCATGTCCGTGTGTGTTAATGTGTGTGCTGTGTTAATGTGTGTGTTGTGTTAATGTGTGTGTTGTGTTAATGTGTGTATTGTGTTAATGTGTGTATTGTGTTAATGTGTGTGTTGTGTTAATGTGTGTGTTGTGTTAATGTGTGTGTTGTGTTAATGTGTGTATTGTGTTAATGTGTGTATTGTGTTAATGTGTGTGCGTTGTGCGTGTTGTGTTCAGGTGTGTAGGGGGTTGTTTTACTCTGTGTGTGTGGTGTGTATTGTGTTCATGTGTGTAGGGGGTTGTTTTACTGTGTGTGTGGTGTGTATTGTGTTCATGTGTGTGCGTTGTGTGTGTTGTGTTCATGTGTGTTGGGGGTTGTTTTACTGTGTGTGTGATGTGTTGTGTTCATGTGTGTGGTGTGTTCATGTGTATGGTGTGTTATTGTGTGTATGTGCATCACGTGTATAGTGTTAATGTGTGTGGTATGTGTGTATTGTGTTAATGTGTGTATTGTGTTAATGTGTGTATTGTGTTAATGTGTGTGGTGTGTTAATGTGCGTGGTATGTTAATGTGTGCGGTATGTGTGTATTGTGTTAATGTGTGTGGTGTGTTAATGTGTGTGGTGTGTGTTGCGTTAATGTATATGCTGCGTTAATGTGGGTGGTGTGTGTATGTTGTGTTAATGTGTGTCTGTGCATCGCTTGTATAATGTTAATATGTGTGTTGTGTTAATTTGTGTACGGGGTAGTGTTACTGTGTGTATATATATTGTGTTCACGTGTGTGGTGCGTGGGTTGTGTTAATGTGTGTGTGGTGTAGTGTGTGTGTGGTGTGTGTGTGTGGTGTATGTGTGGTGTGTGTGTGGTGTGTGTGTGGTGTAGTGTGTGTGTGGTGTGTGTGTGTGGTGTATGTGTGGTGTGTGTGTGGTGTGTGTGTGGTGTGTGTGTGGTGTAGTGTGTGTGCTGTGTTAATGTGTGTGTAGTGTAGTGTGTGTGGTGTGTGTGTGTTGTGTTAATGTGTGTGGTGTAGTGTGTGTGTGTGGTGTGTGTGTGTGTGGTGTAGTGTGTGTGGTGTAGTGTGTGTGTGGTGTGTATGTTGTGTTAATGTGTGTATGTTCATCGCGTGTATAATGTTAATGTGTGTGTGGTGTAGTGTGTGGTGTGTGTGTTGTGTTAATGTGTGTATGTTCATCGTGTGTATAATGTTAATGTGTGTCTGGTGTAGTGTGTGGTGTGTGTGTGGTGTGTGTGCGTGTTGTGTTAATGTGTGTATGTTCATCGTGTGTATAATGTTAATGTGTGTCTGGTGTAGTGTGTGGTGTGTGTGGTGTGTGTATGTTGTGTTAATGTGTGTATGTCCATCGTGTGTATAATGTTAATGTGTGCGTACTGCGCGCGTGCTGTCCGCGTGTGCGCGTGCATTTAAAATCGTGCGCGTGCGGGGAGCGGTGGCGCAACAGTTAGCGCAGTGGCGATCATTTTAAAGAGTCAGTGTGACCCGCCCATATTGCCCACACATCCCCCGAGTACTTAATGCGGTGCGTAAACATCGCCACGAGGGAGACAAAGGCGGCCAGGCGTGGGTCAACCACCCACCTCGTCATGTTGTCATGTCGGACTGTATCGGGGCGATTCGCCATAACAGCACTTGCCCCAAACAGTCTGTGTAAGGACGCGCTGGGGGATCTTTGTCTATGTCCGAGTGTGTCTGCGGAGCTGTTAGCGCCACGCTGCGCTACGACGATTATTTGAACCGGTCCTGGGCCTCTCCCTAGGTCGACTCGGCCTCAAATGAGTACCTGGTGCGGTGTGCGAACATCGCCATTGGGGAGACAAAGGCGGCCGGGCGTGGTGCTGGCCACCCACCCCTTCGTGTGCCGTGCCGGCCTTCGTAGGTGCTTGATAACGGCATTTGCCCCAACAGTCTGTTGATGCTACACGGGGGATCTTTGTCTTTTCGTGTCGAGTGTGTGTTTGTGTACGAGTGTTTGTGAACCCGATTCGATTCAGAAAATTATTCCATCGTTGAAGCGAGATGTGGACGGAGGAGAATTTTGTTTTGCTAATGATGACACGAACAATGATGATGCTGATGGTGACGTCAATCACAATGACGCTGATGATGATGTAAAGAATTACGTTGCTGATGATGTTGCTTATAATGATGATGATGTGGTGCTCACATTTGACCCGATCCTCTCACCTTCGTGTGCTTGCACAGCGAACTGGGGTGCGTGTACGACTTGTCGCACACACACACACTACACTATACACTACACTACACACCACTCACACACCACACTACACACTCACACACTACACTACACACTACACTACACACCCACACACTACACTACACACTACACTACACACCACTCACACACTACACTACACTATACACTACACACTACACTCTCACCTTCATGTGCTTGCGCAGCGAGCTGGGGTGCGTGTACGACTTGTCGCACAGCTTGCACAGGTAGGGCTTGTCCGACGTGTGCACGTGCATGTGCTTCTTGCGGTCGCTGCTGTTGGCGAAACGTCGGTCGCAACCCACGAACTCGCAGCGGAACGGTTTCTCTCCTGGGGGGCGGGGGGGCGAGAGAGGGACAGAGAGGGCGGTGATCGACGCCTTCTTGTATAGAAATCGATCCGCAGTGTGTCGTGGAGAAGGGCCGTTGCCCGAAACGTCGCCGATGATATTTATATGTTTTAACGGCCACACACATGGTGGTGTTGTTGTTGTTGTCGACACGGGTCGTGTTGTTGTTGTTGTTGTTGGCTGTGCTTGTGTACCACTGCCAACGCAGCACAACATTGTTTGCGTTCAGTTTTGCCTGTCGAACATCAGCCCTGGTGATACAAAGGCGGTCGGGCGTGGCTTCAGAACACAACCCCCTACCCACCTCACCCACCCCCCAATATAGGTGCCACTCGCTAACAGCACTTGCCCCAACAGCCTGCGCAGCCTACACGGGGGATCTTTGTCTTTGTGTGGTTGTTTACAGCACGCGCGTGTGCGTGGGTAGTGTAGCGCAACGCGGCGCTACGAACCTCGCGACGATTATCTGAATCGGTCCTTGGGCCTCCCCTAGGTAGACTCAGCCTCAAATGAGTACCTGGTGCGGTGTGTAAATATCGCCACTGGGGAGACAAAGGCGGCCGGGCGTGGTGCTGGCCACCCACCCCCTCGTGTGTCATTCTGGCCTTCATTAGGTGCTCGCTAAAAGCACTTGCCCCAACAGTCTGTCACAGGCTACACGGGGGATCTTTGTCTTTGTCTTTTTTTGTTTAATAAAACGACTGCTGCTGATGAGAACACCGAACGTGGAAGCCGGACCCACGACTTTGCCTGCGTGGAATCGTTGCTGCTGATATTCTGCAAGAGCCGGCAAGAAGTCCACGTGGCTGATGGGATGCGTGAATGTGTGGTTCGTACACAAGGGCGTTCCCCGAAACGTCGGGACATCAAGGTTTTATTAAATTTATTTTAACACCGCCATTAAAAGCATTTAAATTGTTTTATTATTTAAGCGGATATTTTTATTTTATCGTTATTAATAATAGATTTTTTTTTACTTCTTCCTTGTCAGATGTCATGTAGAAAAACTCGACCGAGTAAGAACCCTGAATACACGAACAGTCCTAATTACATTTCAAAATGTAATTCGTTGCATCGTGTGCGTTAATGTTAAACAGTGGAAGTCAGTTTAAACATTTGTTAAAATAAATTGAATAATCCTACGTGAATTGTTCAAATAAATACGATAATCCTACGCGTCCAGATTTTTTTTTTTTAAACCCGAAAATGTTTCCTTCTTGACTCGAGTGATTTTATTGCGTTTGTGTTATATAGCCGACTACGTCGCGCAGTGCGCTAACCACTGCGCCACCGCTCTCTCCCCCCCCACACACAACTCACTCGCTATACACGGACACTACAAACAGCAACAACAGCTGAAACCACACACACTCCCACAGCACGCGCGAGCCTCGACACGGCGAACAGATCCTCGCCGATGCGTATAGCTGAATCGACGCAGTCAACGTACGTTTAGCGAACAGACGCGGCTAACATCGCGAACAGGCGCAGTTAGAAAAAAAGTGCGTGTCTGTGTGTGCGCGCGTGTGTGTGTTTATGAGGGTGTGTGCGCGTGTGTTTGTGCAGGTGTGTTTGTCTGCGTGTGTATGTATGTGAGCGCATATGTGTGTGTGTGTGCGCACGTGTGTGTTTATGTATCGCTAACAGCACTTGCCCCAACAGTCTGTTAAAGGTGAAAACTGTTTATGTGTGTAGGGAGCGGTGGGGCAGTGGTCAGCACGCTGCGCTATGAACCCGGTGACCCGAGTTCCATTCGTGCTCACGGATAACAGCAGTAACGCTTATCTCTACAAGTCCTGGGTCTCCCCTAGGTCGACTCGGCCTCAAATAAGTACTTGGTATGGTGTGTGAACATCGCTACTACAGAGACAAAGGCGGCCGAGCGTGGTGCTGGGCACCCACCACCTCGTGTGCCGTTCTGGTATTAGTTGGTGCTCGCTCGCAGCACTTGCCCCAACAGTCTGTTAGAGCTATCCGGGGGATATCTGCCTTTGTATGTTATGAACATTCGTATGTTGATGACATTGTTATTCGATCAAAAAATATTACATCCGTTAAAATAAATTGCACAGAGTTACGTGGTCATTGAACACCATTATCATCATCATCACAATCAGCAACATCAACAACATCACGACCATCATAACCTCTCCAAACTCACTCCCTGCACGCACAATCACGCACCATCGTTCTGCTGATGATGATGATGAACGTTGATGATAATGATGCTGATGGTGTCGATGATGATCATTACGAAGGTTATGATGTTGATGGGGTTGATGGTGATGATGGAGGAGTCTGGATCTCGGTTCAAACGCGACACTCAGTGAGAGCCACCGAGATCGTGTGAAGCTACCCCAACAACAACAACAACTACAATAACCAGATTCTACAACCACAACAACAACCAATGTCCACAACTTTAACAACAATCACAACACCAAGCACAACAACCAGATTCTACTACAACAACTACAACACCAACAACCACAACAACTATTTTTACGACTGCAACAACTATTACTACAACTAAAACTGCCATAACTACGATGACTACACTAACTACTGTAACCGTATGAATGCATTTCCTTAATATTTAATTTCGCACACACACGCACTGCATATAAAGTCACACGAGCTAATGAATCAATTAAGAAAATTAATTGCAATTGTATATTTCACTGTTGAATATGAAATGCTGTTTGTCCATGGCAGAAGGGGAGTTTAATAGAAATGAATTGATTTATATACTGCACACAATGCATATAAATTAATTATACAGCAGTGGATGAAGGTTACGCTAATTTAATTACGTTTTATATAGTATATGCATATATTGTAAATAATCTTACGACTCAACTGCTCGATGGATGATCTCATCACACACGTGGGAGAGTTGTTTGACCATACTTCGCCATTCTGGTCAATGGGGATTTTGTATGGTTATTTAAACGTGTAGTGTGCGTATATACATACACAAAACGTATGAATTAACGTCGCTCAAACCTGGCTTAGGATGTACAAATAGAGTTGAAATAGTGAAATAGATAATTGCAATTAATTATCTGAATAGGCTAATTAATTTATATTTAAACCGTAAAACACTTTGATGAAAGCGAACGCAATTATGCATTAGAATCCAAGCTCATTTGCATGTGCGCATTTACATATTCGCATTGATAATCAGTTGTAATTGTTTTTCCTATAACAAAGACAAAGCTCCCCTGGATAGCCTTAACATACTTTTGGGGCAAGTGCTGTTAGCAAGTAGCACCTATGAAGGCCGGCACTGCACATGAGGGGGTGGGTGGCCAGCACCACGCCCGGCCGCCTTTGTCTCCCCAGTGGCGATATTACCCATCGCGCCAGCTACTCATTTGAGGCCGAGTCGACCTAGGGCAGGCCCGGACTCGTCAACGATGTGGGGCCATGAGCGGGAATAGGAGTCGGTCCGCCGGGTTAGTTCGCGAAGTGACCTAACCGCTGCGCCACCGCTCCCGACACAAACACTTATAACACACACACAACACGCACACGCGTGCACGATATACACAACAGAGACAAAAGCTCACCCAATGTGTTCACAAACATTCATGAACATACATCGATTACAACATTCATACACACACCGATACGTACATACATATGCACATATACACACACGTAAAGACACATATATATACACAATGGCAAAGAAGAAGAGCCCCCGTATAGCCTTAACAGACTGTAGGGGCAAGTGCTGTTAGCGAGCACCTATAAAGGCCGAGACGGCACACGAGGGGGTGGGTGGTCAACGCCACGCCCGGCCGCCTTTGTCTCCCTAGTGACAATGTTTACACACCGCACCAGGTACTCATTTGAGGCTGAGTCGACCTAGGTGAGAGGCCCAAGACCGGTTCAGATAATCGTCACCGGTATTGGCCGTGAGCGGGAATCGAACCAGGGTCGCCAGGTTCGTAGCGCTAACCGCTACACTACCGCACACGCACACACATATATACATACACACTACGCAGATATGCACATAGTAATTAAGTTACATTTCGATTTAAAGCTTTCGTGACTGCAGGGATTCATCTTCTTGGTTCTTTCGGTAAAGTCACGTAGAAGGTAAATATTAAAATAATAAAAATGAAACATAATAAAATAAAATAGTTTTATTTTTATTATTTTATTATTTCCCTTCTACGTGACTTTACCGAAAGAACCAAGAAGAGTAATTAAGTTATTTTTCATTGACTAATTCTACCACCCCTCCCCCCCCTCTCATTTACACCCTCCCCCATCACCCCCCCTACCCCCTCACCCCCACCCCCCCATCTCTCATGTACCCCCGGTGCTTTCGACGTCCTCATCGACACCTCTTGGTGATGCTAATGCGGCTGGCAGGAGATGAGGGATCTAGTCCCGGGTTTTGTGTTGGCGAAAGTAGTCGCGCTGAGTACCATTAGCATGAGAAGCGAGGAGCTGGGGTGGTGGAGGAGGGAGGGTGAAGAGTGGGGAGATGGGGGAGGGGAGGGGGAGGAGGGGAGGGGCGACTGCCTCGTCTTGATGGGATCAATCCTCCCTCCACACACAGTGATCCCATCGCAACAACAGCAGCAGCAACAAGCACAACCACCACAACTCACAACAACAACAACTAACACGGTCTGTGAAACAACAGCAGCAGCAACAACAACCACCACAACTCACAACATCAACTAGTACGGTCTGTGAAACAACAGCAGCAGCAGCAACAACCACCACAACTCACAACAACAATACAACAGGCACGGTCTGCAAAACAACAACAGCAGCAGCAACAACCACAACTCACAACAACAACAGCAGCAGCAACAACCACAACTCACAACAACAACAGTAGCAACAACAACCACAACTCACAACAACAACAGTAGCAACAACAACCACCACAACTCACAACAACAACAAACGCGTGGCTATGCCTGACTGACGATGATGATCGCTTAGCGCTGCT